CCAAACCATGCAGGCAAAAGGTGGGGCATTAAACCCCTCCTTAGTCTTACTCAGGCCTGCCGGGGCCTGGCCATGCACCTCTCCCCCTGCAAAGACTAACCTGCAAAGATTGAATCAATTCAGGCTTGGGCTTTTTGAATGTCTGTCCCTAGCCCCCTTGCACCTGTCTTTTTCTATCTAATCCCTTTGCAGCATTTGCTGGTCTCTGGGCAAATGCAGGGGTGTGACCTGCAGTGGGGTTTGGGTCACAAGCAGTGGCCTGCAGGTTATCAATCTCTGCTACAGTGTAGATTCAGCAAATGCTAGAGGGAGGTTTTTTTCCCCCCTGGAAACACCTAAGCTCAGTTGACACTTGCAGCCACACCAGGAGTTTTGACAGTGTAGCTATGTCAGTAAAGGAGTGTGCTCTTTTCTATGCTATGCCAGCAGAACTTTGTAGGGCAGATCTGACCCCCATCTGGAAAAACAAAGGGGAATCAAAGGCACAAAATACGGCATAACTATTTTGCAAAAATCTAGTTGGTCTAATAAAAGATATCACCTAAACCACAAGTCCTGATTCCTTTTTGCCTCTACAACAATATGGCTACAACCTGGATACCCAACAGCATAACTGTTCAGCAGTCCACCTGAAATGTTAACAGCTATAGGAGCAGAATCAGTAAGACTGTATTTCAGATGTATAGATGAATAATGATATGTATTGTTGACCTTTGACATACATTATAAAGGGATCTGCAATACTAATAGAAGAAAGAGGAATGGTTTCAAGTTGCAGCAAGGGAAATTTAGGTTAGATATTAGGAAAAAAATCTCTCACCAGGCAGGTAGTAAAGCACTGGAACAGGTTACCCACAGAGGTTATGGGATCTACATCATTGGAGATGTTTAAGACCTGAATGGACAAGCCCTTGGCTGGAATGATCTAGTTGGAGAGGGTCCTACTTTGAGCACGTTAGACTAGATGACCTCCTGAGGTTTCTTCCAAACCTAATTTTCTATGATTCTGTGAAATCTGCAATCCAGGAGTTATGAGATGCGTGCTTTTGATGAATAGCTATCAAAGGAGTTTATCAGCTCAGTTACTGAATTTGAAAAAATAACTGCAGAAAGATGTAATAAAATTATTGAATGTTTTTTTTTGAAGTTAAAATCTGACACTGTTCTTTCTGGTCTTTAATTTTTGTTCATGGTAATATTAAGATACATGACAAAATAGTGCATCAGAAATGTGATCAAATGTAGAAGGTGAAGAAAGACATCTGGAAAGGATTTAGGGAGAGCCACTGTTTTGAAGGCTAAAAATAAAGAGCAGTAACTAAAGATGTGATTAAGCATATTTGCTGTAGAAAGGACAAAAGTAAGGTAGCAGTGATGAACTCTCTCTTTATTTCCACATCTTCATGTATCCCGAACAACAATAGCTAAATTCAAGAAGCTATTCTGACATAAGACAAAATACATGCCTCTGTCAAAACTTGTTTATAGTATGGCTAGCAGAAAAAGCATCTTGTAGGAAATACGGAAATTGTTAAAAACCCATATTTCATCTTCTTTTCAGCATGTGACTTTCTCTAGAAAGCAGAAAATGACAATGTGATTAAATCTCCTTCTGTGACTCATTCAACAAAAAACAGTTGAAGTCTGACCTTGCTAAAAATGTGCTGCATTTCAGTTCAA